GTGTGTGTGTCCGGCAAAAACAACCCCCTACCTCCTCGTGGTGCGGGATGGCAACATTGTGGTTGGCCGTGCCATGGAGGGAGGGCCAACTTAAATTGGCCATTCCCCTCATGGCGTCTGTAACCACCACAGTGGCCAAATAGGGGCTCTGGATGGGTGCGAGGGGCTGGTATCCCCTCCACCTTCAATTAATTACCACTAAACTACGAGTAAAATAAATGCACTAAGCTCATGCCGGAGGCCCCGTGTGGACAGGCGTCTATGACGTCTCCTGGCTATACCCCATTTGGCGGAGCGAGGAGACTGAATCCTTACCCTCGGGGCTCCTCGAGAAACAACAAAAAAACACTACGTGTGGCCACGTGGAATGTTCGAACGCTCACTGCGGAGGAGAGGCTACCACTCCTCTGTTGGGAGCTGGACCAGTACCGCCTGGATCTCTGTGGTATTCAGGAGGTCCAGTGGACCGGCTCTGGCTCCTGCCACCATGAGGGGTGGACAGTCCTCCACTTGGGGCAGGAGACTGCCAAACCACAGTGAGTGGCTCTTCTTGTGAACACAAGAATGAAGGGGGTGTGGGAGCATGGCGGCGAGTTGTGGGAAGCTGTAAGCCCCAGGCTACTTTGGACTCGCCTTCCCATCAAACAGAGGTGAGCAGTGGTGGTCATGGTTACTTATGCCCCCACGGAAGACGAACATCCGTTGAGGGATGCAGGCAAGGCCGATGAGTCAGATGCCTTCAATGACCTCCTGTCACAGGTGCTACCTAAAGTGGCCCCTCGGGATAGAGTCATCCTGTTGGGTGACTTCAATGCCCGAGTTGGTCATGATGCTGGCACCTGGTCTGGAGTTATTGGAAGGCATGGGCCAGATCAGCTCAATTACAACCGCAGGAGGCTGCTAGATTTTTGTGCAGCCCATGGGCTTGTAATTACCAACACGCTGTTCTGGCATCGGCGCATCCACACAACATCATGGATGCACGCCAGGTCCAAACAAGAGCATCTAATCGACTACATAGTGATGGAACAGCGGATGCGGGCCCATGTCCTTGACACCAGGACCTACCATGGAGCTGATCTGCCCACTGACCATCGACTTGTCATCTGTAAGATGTGCCTGCCATTCTTCCACTCCGATGGTGGGTGTACACCCAGGACCCCATTCAAATTCATAGTGGCATGGTCTCAGCTAGCTGATGAAAGTTGCAAGCGAGAAGTTCATCATCGCTTGCGGCTGGGGTTGGCATTGTCCCCGACTCCTCCTGATGTCGAGGAGAAATGGGCGAGGTTTAGGACTGTGGCTCATTCAGCTGCAATGGCTGCTTTGGGTACATGGTCCAGATCTCCTCCAGAGACCCTGGCTGACAAAAGAGGTTTTCAGGCTGGCTGAGAAAAAGCGACAGGCCCACTCTCATCAGCTACAGCATCCCACGTCTGAGAATGAGGACGCTTATTGCAGCCTTTGCTCGGAGGTTTGGAGAGCTGTGAGGCACTGCAATGATGGGTGGTGGTCGCGGGTTGCTGAGGAGATGGAGTATGCCTCAATGGCCCGCGATCACAAATCACTCTTTAATTCTATCAAAAAAGTAACCTGCAGCACCACACCTATTACCATCATTAGCGGAAAGAACGGTGATCCAATCTCCGATCCCCAGGAACAGCTTCACAGATTTGCTGAGCATTTCTGTGAGGTCCTGGGGGAGGGGAAATCCCTCAGCCTGGAAAACAACGTGGGACAAAGTGGTGATGACCCTGCTGAGGCTGCAGTGCCTCAAATATTGGAAGAAGAAGTCACCCCCTGTGAGTGGCTGGCTGAGGTGGCATCTGTTGAGGAAGTACTGAAGGCGATCCAGAGTCTAAGACCAGGAAAGGCACCGGGCAGAGATGATCTACCAAGCGAAATGCTGAGGGAGGGTGGCGTTTGTGCACAGACTGCCCTACATTACATCATACCAACAGTCTGGACCACTGGATGGGTTCCGCAAGAATGGAAGGATGCCCTGGTGGTCCCCCTCTTTAAGAATGGGGACCGCACAGACTAACAACTACAGGGGCATCTCACTCCTCAGTGTGTCGGGAAAGGTCCTGGCAAGGATTATTCAACATCGCCTTGCTAGGCACGCTGAGGAGAGGCTTGGAGCCCCAATGCGGTTTCAGAAAATGGCGGTCCTGCACAGATGCCATATTTTCTGTCCGTCTGCTGCAGCAAAGGTGTAGGGAATTCCAACAAGACCTACATCTCTGCTTTATTGACCTGGTCAAGGACTATGATACCATCAGTAGGCCTGAGCTCTGGGTTGTTCTTCATGCTTTCGGAGTCCCTGACCCTCTGTTCATGATCATTAAGGATCATCATGATGGCGAGCGGACCCGGGTAAAACGACGTGGCCGGTAGTCGGTACCATTTCCTGTACACCTTGGGGTGCGACAAGGATGTCCACCTTCAATAGCTGTACCGGAGGAATTTCCATCTGGTACAGATACAATGGGAGGCTGATTGATGCCCGGGTGCGGTCAAGGGATGGCTCCCTATTGCTCAACCATGTTATGTATGCCGATGATCTGGTAATTGCTGCTCACTCAGAGAAGGAGTTGGAGGCGCTGCTGCTGAACCTGGAGCTTGCCACTAAGAGGTGGGGCCATACCATTAGTTCCACCAAAATTAAGCACCTGCCTGGGTATTTTGTACCATTGGACAATCCACCCACACAACTTCCAATTGGTGATAGGGCAGTTGTGGAGAGAGTGGAGAGTTTCCCATACGTTGGCAGTGTGATCATGACCGGCTCCGGTTTAACAGCAGAGGTCTCACTCCGAATCAGTCGAGCGGAATTATATTTTCATCGGTTGCGTAACGCTGTGTGGAAGCTACCTGGTCTCTCGCTCCGCACGAAGCTTCAGGTCTTCTCGGCCACAGTCATCCCCTCCCTTCTCTACGCTTGCAAAACGTGGACCCCCCTAATGGAACAACTTCGCCGGTTAGAAACATTTAGGCTGGCCTGCCTACGATCCATCCTGGGTTGAACCAGGCCAGATTTTGTGAGGAACTCACAAATCCTTGAAAGATCTGGACTAATTCCCATCGGTGAGCTCCTCCGGCAGGCAAGGTTGTGTTGGCTGGGTCATGTCGCCCACATGCCCAGCCACCGCATGCCTAAACAGCTTTTGTTTGGCCAGATCGAGGGGGCAAAACAGGCGTGGCACTGGCTAGAGAAGAGATGGAGTGAAGTGGTACGTGAGGATGTGGAGCTGAGTGGACTTGCCGATGACTGGTACCAGCGGTGTCAAGATCAGCCTCTGTGGAGGAGGCTCGTGAAGGACGCTACTGGGCAGTTGGAGGCAGTCGCCCTCCAAGAACAACGGAGGGCAGAGGAGCAACGCTCACAACAACGAGTGGAGTGACGGGTGGCTAAAGCACAGCAAGTTGGTACAGTAGGGGACACAGGTGGTGCATCAGTCAGTCATCTCAGTCATCTCAGTCAGTCGACCCGTGGCACCTGGGTTTGCCCCATGACCTCCTGCCAGCAGGCGTTCGACACTTCACGTGGCCTCAAGGTGCACATAGCCTGGCACAAGCGTCGTGGCGACGTCACTGCCACTTAGTTGCGAATGTCGGTTGTTGTTGTGGTGGCTGTGTGTGTGGTGTCTGTGTGTTGGTGTCTGTCTGTGTGTCCATACTTCATAGGTAATGCTGCTCGCTACGAACTAACAATAGTCTATGACACCACCACTACCACCATGCGGTGGTGGTAGTTGTGGTGGTCTGTCATCGTGTGCTTTACACGCTTTCATTTAACTCACTCTGTCTGTCGTCGTCATTGTTGTATCCTCAAATCTTGTAACTCAATTTTAACCCACTTCCCAATGTGGTATCGACTGCAAACTTGGTATACTTATGCCATACTGATGACAATAATATATTCTATCATAAAAAAAATATATATATTTTTTTAAACATTTTTTAAAATATTTTTTTATATGTTATGTTTCGGCTTGGGTCTGATTGTCCACGGTCAACTGACGTTGGTTGTAATTGGCCACGGTCCCTTACGTTATGGCAAGCTTCGGGGCCACTTCCTAGAGTCGTGGAGTTCTTTCATTACTAGTACATTTCATAAAAGCGTGTTTTTAAAAAAGTGTTTTTAAATATTACTTATTACTATAGTAGTTATTAGTATAGCCAGTGGATACTACTATTGTCAGTAGTTACAACTATAGAGGTGGTGCATGCTACGACAGAGTCCGTAGATACTACTGCAGTCAGTAGATACTACGATAGAGCCAGTGGATACTATCGTAGAGTTAGTAATGAATACTATAGTCAGTGGATACTACTATAGAGTCATTAGTTGCTACTATAGTGTCAGTAGATAGTACTATTCAGTCAGTAGATACTACTGTAGAGTTAGTAGATACTACTACAGTCAATAAATACTGCTAGTCACTATATACTGCTATAGAGTCAGTAGTTACTACTATAGATACGACCGTAGGCTCGGTAGATACTACTGTAGTCAGTAGATAAGATACTGCTACAGTCACTAGACACTACTCAATACTCACTCGATTGTATGCAGGGTGTGTAGTTATAAATGCCTACGGGGGGGTAAAATATATTTTTTTATGCGGGGAAGGTCGACAATTTTCAGAAACCTTTTAGAAAACTATTTAGCCGCCACGTTTTATTACTTTTACATTCAGGGCTTCTTCAAGCATCTTATAATTATATTGCTGGACAAATGGACAGGAAAATGGAACGCCGGGCTTTCACAATAGCTTAGTATTTGTGTATATATGTTATGTTTTTAAGAAAAGTTTTGAAATATATTTTTCCCCCGAGCGACGCCGGGAACTTTGCGCTAGTAGGAAATAAGTGTCTAACATGCTCTTGTAACAGGTAGTGTTGGCCCAAGGTAGATTTCTGTTGTAAATCACAGAGTATTGAAATATTTGCCTGCTTATAGCTAAAAACGTAGCTTGAGTGCAAAACAGCATTACCTGGTAAGACACTTTGGTGATGCTGCTGTCTGAGCTTTTTAATGTGAAGGAAACTGGGCTCCCAACCTAAAGAAAAAATCAGAGGTTTGTAAAGGGTGAAATGATTGTAAAAACTTACATATTATGTAAGTTTACATGTTGAACACGTGAGTACATGAAGGAAAACAATTGTGGGTTTATTTTTGGAATATCAGGCTTGATTGTGCAGGGAGAAGAGTAAATTGCTCACCCTGTAAATTAGTAATGACACATATTGTGAACATAGTGTGAGTCTGTTATGATTCTATCAGGGCAAGTAACTTATGCTCCACCTGGTTATGTGTGATTTGAACACCTACTGCAGAATTCCTTTCTTTAAGGACAAGTCATAAGCAACATTCCATATTCAACACAGAAATAGACACAATCGATGGTGTCAAGTTTCAGGATTCTCACCTTGACATTGGTTTCACTGGCTGTCACGTGCAAAAATGATCCATTTTGAAAACTCACCCATGCTGATATCGAATTACAAACAACGACTTCACCAAATCGTGCCTTGATGTAAACACGTGCACACAAACACAAATCCCCTGTTAGATGCAGCACAATAAATACACCATGAACAGACACATTAGACAACGTCAATTCTAAGCAAAGCCAAAGTCACTTTTACATGAGTGAAAGATTGCCTGTACAATCAGAATCAGAATATGTATTCATACTGTAGGAAACTGATGAGTTTTGAAGCTCTTTTCACAGATGTCCAGTCGGGTAGGTCAGAAAGTTACATCAACAAGAAATATAATAAAGGTTACATGAGTAACTTAGATCAAAGTTAAGCCAGTCACAAAACATATATATATGAGCGTGGAAGTACAAACATGGAGTAGTCCCTCCGTTAACAATGATATCGGTTAGCGGTTTTTCGGTTCACGTTTCGCCTCCCATAGAACCCTATAGTTGTGAATAAAGTTTAAATTTTTATTAACGGTATGTTTACGTTATGCACGCAGGCGCCAATTTCAGCCAATACGAGCGCTCGTTTAGTGGGCTGAGCATGCCTCAGCCAACCAACGATGCCCATTTATGAGCGTTGACACCTCGGCTGGCTTTGTTTACATTGGTTTCTGTTTTGGCAGTGGAAACGGCTCTCTTGCAGACTCCGTGGTTTTTACTTATTTTTGCAACTTATAAGTGAATTAATAGTGGTTGCAATGGCCCCTAAAATGAATTCGCGAAAGGAAAAAGAGTAGGAAAACAATTAGCCTTATGAACTATGTTTTAAGGTAAAAAATGTCAACTTCTGGTCGTATTGGAACGGATTAATGTTTTAACATGTGTAATAAAAGACTCCGTCAGGCACTACTGGTCTCCGCTTGTCTTTTATTCAAGGTCTTTCTCCGCACCCCGCTGGTCTCCTCCGCGGACCAGCGTCGTCTCGCGCGCGCCCAGCACGTGCTTCCTCCTCAGCTCCTCCACTCGTCCTCACACCCCGCTGGTCCTGACAAGGGACCAGCGTCTCCTCTCGCGTGCCACGCACGCTCCTCTCACGTGCCCCGCACGCTCTCGCGTGCCGCGCACGCTCCTCTCGCGTGCCCCGCACGCTCCTCCGTTAGCTCCTCCGTTAGCTCCTCCGTTAGCTCCTCCTCGCGCGCAGCCCCGCACGCGCTCTCCCGTCAGCTCCTTCTCGCGCGCACCCCGCATGTGCTCTCCCGTCAGTCGCTCCGCTCCTCCTCGCTCCGCACACCGCTGGCCGACGATGTGCCGAAGCCGCATCAGCCACGTGGCTGATGGCGCGGCGGCCACCCAACGTGGTTCCGCTTCTTCACTCCAACAACTCCCCCGATCTCTTCCGGGCTCCCCTCTATATTTTCTCTCCCACGTGACCCTGACTCCTCCCCTTCCGGATCATCAGATCCGGCCTTCCCATACTGCCCTGCTGGCTCCACCTCCATTCACCTCGCTTCCCATTGGAGCCGAGGTGAACGGCGGCCCCTCCCACACGCCCCCCATACCGGGCTCCGCCCCCAATACCCCGGGCCGTGTGATTGGCCCAGAGCCCAGCAGCAACCCCATTTACGCTCGCATTACATGACCCCCCCCCCCCCCTGATGAAAAATCCAGCTGTCCCGGCTGCAATAGGATAAATAATGCGAGCGACGGCATCACAATCAGGAATCACCCCAGACACAACGGAAAGTACAACGACAAACACAATTAACGAAAGGGAAGGGATCTGGATCCGGTACGGAACACCGGCCCATCCTCCGTGCAACAAGCAAGAAGAATTAAGCAATGGAAAGCAATGCACAACAATGGTAACCGACACGCAAGAACGGCAGATGCGCATAATCAGGAATGCGGTGTCTAGAGCGTGTCCGTGTTGCTGGTCCATCTGCCTGGCTCAAGTCCAACTTCAGAGAACAACTGGTAGAGCAGGAGTGACGAATAGGCGCTCCACTCCCCCTTCAAGTCCACATCCGGTTAGCACAACCGGTGACACCCAGTGTGGCAGGCGCCGAAGATCTATGACAAGAAGGAGAACCCAACCCCCTGAGGCACAGCACCACGAAACGCACATCCGCATGCCGTACACGACAGCCACCCGGCCCCAGGGTAGTGGAGATGATCGAAATCCGCCCCGCGTAAGCAGAAACCTAATAAATTCCCAAAATCGACGCGATAGATGGGCAATCATCTACATTTTAACTTAAAAAATATTATTTACACATGACAACAACATTTTTCCTGCTCTTGCCCATCAGCAGTCCTCCCTTGAGGACCAGCACAGACATCTCACGTACACACCATCTACCCACTGTCACTCTCAACACAGCCCCCGGCTGCACACCCTCGGGTGGAGAGAGCCACGCTCCCCAGCGGCAAAATTTAATTTGCCTTCGCCCAACCACAGCAACGTCCACTGGCCATCCACTCGGCCAGTGCAATTTCGGGGATGAGACAATGGCACATCGCAATGACTCAGCCACGCTCCATCCCGTACTATCCCATCACCAGTGGACACACTCCAGCATCTTATAGTCTGATGCTTTACAGACAAGGGAAGGTTCATCCCTTGGCAAGGCCAGACCCCATCGACCCCCCACGGGGCAATGTTCCCTAGCCAATATCTTGACGATATGGAGTCACACTCCCCAACATGCATTCTGAACAACTTTGGCTTACAATCACCAATAGACTGAACCCGCTGTCCAGCATGTGTCCTCACTGCCGTCCTAGCAATCACCCCGGACCCGTCGCATTCCGCTAACCTAGGCCATATTCCAATCGCTTGAACCCCCACAATATCCATATCCCCGAATAGGATCTGCAGGACTAGTTCCCCTATACATTCAATAACGTCATAACCCAGAGTGGAACAAGTCCGCTGCCCTTCCCACTGGAGGACCCGCAAGGGGAATCCCCGCCCCATGCTAGCCAGGTCTCCCCGTTCGCTGCAACGTAACAGAACCTCTACAACTGAATTTCGTGAGCCCCCGGCCCACCAGGTTAACAGTCTGCCACCGCACGACGGAACCCCGACTCCCCGAGCCATATGAGCACACGGCCCATTAGTTTGAGACATACCACGGAGTGTCTCGCCTCCGGGCTGTCAGGTCAGCCATCGGCCATAGGCCGATGTGACCACAACTCGTGCATCACCCACTCAACAATGGCAGGCGTATACTGGTGAAATATTTGCCCCAGAATAGAACCCAGCCAGCATCTCAGTCCCAAAATGCTGGTGCAATGACACGCCCCCCCTTAGTCAGACATGGGCCACTATGCTCCTGTTACTCCGATGGGCGCCAACACGCCAGCATTGCGCACAACACGCAATGCACGCACACAAGTTAGAGCGCAACACGAGAGTCAAGGGATGATATCCATAACCGCATCACCGCGGCTCGACGTGTATACTGAAAATGGCGGCGGCACGCGCGAAGTGCCCCACCGAGGTTTTCCACCGCGCGCTCAAAATGGCGGCCCCCTGCGCCGAGCGCATCCCCACAATTTCCCACGTGCGCTCAAAATGGCGGCCCCATGCGCCGAGCGCATCCCCGCGATTTGCCATGCGCGCTCAAAATGGCGGCCCCATGCGCCGAGCGCATCCCCGCGATTTCCCGCGCTAGCCAAAATGGCGGCCCAACGTGCGACCACTTCGGCAGTTTTTCCCGTGTGTGCACCCCAGCTGCCCCTTGCTGGGGGTCACAACACACATCCCCTGTCACGTTTTAACAACCCCCATCGATACGACGCATAGCCACAGCTCGCTGCGCACATCAGTCGTATCGGGGGAATTTTTAACCCATAGTTGACCAAGACACATTGCTCATACACACCAACTCGCAATGCAACCCCTGGCCACACGCAATCAACGGAAAGAGCGACGCCACTTGGCGGAAATTTACGGCCCCACACACCCTTGACAGCAGAGCCACCAACAACGCCCTCATCCCTCAACACTCGCAATTTCCTATGAACACACATGCAATCTCGTGTGCACGAACACCCATACAACCAAAAATTAGGGTCCCCCACGAATTGACCAATTTCCGAACAGGTACGCACAACTAGTAACAATCCCGAACCCAATGGTCAAAACAATGCACCGCACACCGTATCCGTACAGAAAGACAGTCTCTACAGTATGTGCAGTCAGCATATCGCGATTACAAGCAGCAAGTTACACACAGGTTGTACATTATGCACAATCGCAAGCAGAGCTGCAGGCAGACAACACACCGTTAACCCTGTCGTACCTTGCAGCAAAAAAAATCATCAAAATAACCACGTCGCACACATCAACCCACGGGATGGTAACAGCGCGGGACACTCAACGCAACCGAATTAATAATTAACTTCGCCATCAAGATAACATCCCCATGCCGCAACGCATAAACACTATTTGACACAGAGCAAACACAAGCAGACAGCGAGTCCATCCTCACACACACACACAGCCCGACCCGTGATCCGCACGCTCGAGACATAACAAACAATCGCACCCCAGCACAAGCAAGATGGGTGAGGTGTGTGTTAGGGCCGGGTGCATATCGTCACGACTCGCCCGGGGCTGCAGCGAGCAGAGGACGGCAGGGTGGTGACTTGAGACGCCTCGAAGAACTCGGACGGTGAGCGCGGCGTCCTCTCGCAACTGCTCCGGTGTCTCGCACACAAGCCAGGACGGGGGTGCTCCCACCCCGGCAGCAGCAGCATCGGTGTCCTCTCCTTGTGGCTCCTTCCCGCAAAACAGCTGCTCAGCAGCAGGATGCACACCACGCGGCGCCTCCGAGATGGCAGCGCATGGCCGCCTCTCCGCCGCGATGTTAAAGATGGCGGTGGCCTGCCACGTGGTCGCTGGAGGACGTGCGCCGGCGGCCGTCTCTTCGTCGTCGGAAGAGTAACAAGTGGGTTATGCTTTTTCAAGTTCTCGGCCATCTTCCTCGATGTTATTTTGCCTTGAAAAAGTCCACTTCCTACTCCAGTGTAATAAAAGACTCCGTCAGGCACTGCTGGTCTCCGCTTGTCTTTTATTCAAGTTTTTTTCTCCGCACCCCGCTGGTCTCCTCCGCGCACGCGCTTCCTCCTCAGCTCCTCCACTCGTTCTCACACCCCGCTGGTCCTGACAAGGGACCAGCGTCTCCTCTCGCGTGCCACGCACGCTCCTCTCGCGTGCCCCGCACGCTCCTCTCGCGTGCTGCGCACGCTCCTCTCGTGTGCGCGCATGCTCTTCTCGCGTGCCCTGCACGCTACTCCGTTAGCTCCTCCTTAGCTCCTCCTCGCGCGTGCCCCGCACGTGCTCTCCCATCAGCTCCTTCTCGCGCACAGCCCCGCGCTGGCGCTCTCCCGTCAGTCGCTCCACTCCTCCCCGCTCCGCACACCGCTGGCCGACGGTGTGCCGAAGCCCCATCAGCCACGTGGCTTATGGCGCGGCGGCCACCCAACGTGGTCCCGCTTCTTCACTCCAACAACTCCCCCAATCTCTTCCGGGCTCCCCTCTATATCCTCTCTCCCACGTGACCCTGACTCCTCCCCTTCCGGATCGTCAGATCCGGCCTTCCATACTGCCCCTGCTGGCTCCACCTCCATTCACCTCGCTTCCATTGGAGCCGAGGTGAACGGCGGCCCCTCCCAAAAGCCCCCCAAACCGGCTCCGCCCCCAATACCCCGGGCCGTGTGATTGGCCAGAGCCCAGCAGCAACCCAATTTACGCTCGCATTACACATGTAATTCCTATATTCGATCTAACGGTTATTTTGGTTAACAACAGTTTTCATAAAACAGATTAAAAAGTTAACCGAGGGACTGCTGTACCTGCAAATTTGTCAAGAGTAAATGCAAGTTTTGGGCAATGCAGCAAAACAACAACAATCTTAAGGCCACACCAAGACAATACAGCCCCTCGATTACATTGCGTTTTAACATTTAACTATTGATACATTGGGATGGTTCATACCTCCACAGTCAGGAAATTTGCTTCTTTGGAAGTTGGCACATCGATGAAAACAATTTCCGTTCGTTGGCACTGTGTAATTGGCATCAGTTTGATCCAATATCTGAGATCCATTATTGATCCAGGGCAACTCATCTGCTCAAGACATGATATGTACTGTTTGACTGACACTGTAAGCTTTGTCTCTCGGTCTTTGAAGTGAGTGGCAGTCCATCTACCAGATAAAGTCTTATCTGTAAATTATGCAAAAAAAATAATGAGAGCTTGAAATTTCCTTCTTGAAATTACATTTCAATACACCACATTTTTTTTATTAGTCATTAGTATTCTTAGGGTTTTTCCGGTATCAAGATACGCACTCGGTCTGTGAAGGTTCCACCTGAAGACGGATAGCCTGTGGTTCCTCCGAAACGTCGTGATTTTTATTTATTTTATTTTACTTTTATTAATTTAATTTTTAACTACGTGACTTTAACCGGAAAAAACCTAAGAAATATGAATCCTTGCAGTCACGAAGCTTCAAAATCTAGAAATTATGTCATTAGTGTTTAATTTTAATACAATAATAAGTTAACTTTCAATCATGTCATATTTATTCAGACAAAAATTGAAAAAAAAAAGTAAATGAATAAGTGCATAACCAAAGGTTCTCGCTCGGCTGCAATAAGCAATTATATTATCACGTATGGTAATGTGTTAATTGCCAAATGTTTATATGTCTGCTAGCCAGAGAGGGCTGCAGGAGAGAGTTTGTGTAGTTTCGCTACTCCTCCACTCAAGCAGCATAGACTACAGTGGTTTACTATATGGTCCATAGTTTGGGTTACATCACCACAGTTGCAATGTGGCTTGTCTTTTAATTTTAATTCATGAAAAAGATGTGTGCAGCAGCCTGTTGATGTTCTTATGAGGTTGATGGTTACACCAACACACGTTCTCTGGAACTTGGTGATATTCAGCGGGATACCATACGGTGGATCGGAACTTGAGTCAGTGGCGAGGTACTTTGAGAGCTGAGTTTATGGGTAAGTTGTCATTGCAAGAAAACACGGAAACTTCTATTTATAGTTTGTAGTATTGCAATGTGATAGCCAGCATTGCTCATTTGAGCAATGATGGCTGTCTTGAACTAGCGGTGGACATTATACATTCTTGTGACAAGAGCCATTCTACATATTAGATTTCATTATAGCTTCTTAGAGAGGGTACTTATTTTATTGCCCCCAGAGATTTAATAGATTGAATTGACTCAAAACATAAATGTTAACCTGAAAACTTCCAATTGTGAGTAAAGTTCTTGAAACACATTAACAATAGTTAAAATAATAAAATACTATTCTTGAAAATATACTTACATTACTTTTAAAGTTAATACCAGGAATGAATCTCCAATCCCCATGAAAATAAATTTCAACTCTGTTCTTTGAAAAAATAACCCCGGTTTTTTTCCATTCTCATGCCTTTAAGAACAACAACAACAACAGAATATCAGCACAAATGCGACGTCATCTTAACTGCCAACCTTTATAAAATAACTGAATACCCGTTTAAAATTCAAAACAAAGATATTTAAGTTGTGATATCATTGGAATATATGAGTGGGGTTAAGTAATAAACTATATTTTTCACCTTTGGTGAATGTCAATTCATATATTTAAAGGCTAGAGGCACGTTTTAGTTGATTTGTAAAATTTCAGCTCACCAAATCATACAGCGCACAGATATTAACGCCTGCTTAAAGCTGACAAGAAACACATCTCAAACTAGAAAAATAAATCTGGCATGTGCATTTGGATACATACAGGGGATATTCTGAATCTCCCAATGGGAAAGGGTAAGACACATATACGTGCATAATATGAAGTGGAATTACAGCATTGAGATTTGTCAAGAAGAGCAGGTTGCACCAGGAACATGAAGATGACTGTGCAGATGAAGCAGGGAAGTTGCAGC